AAAGCACAAGCGGGAATGCGGGAATACCAGCTACTGATGTTCCAAAAATAAACTAACACGTTGCAAATTTTTCCATGATGTTACAGGTTTCTAACTCAACCGGTTCTATAATATAGTTAGAAGTTTCTTTCAAAATCAAAGCAAGGAATGGTCCCTAAATCTATGAAGCACAAATATTAATTTATAAGTACTACTCCAATATTAAATTGTTTGGGAAAACACGCAATTTAAGTTGAGTACTAATCCATATAAGTTTAATATCCCTTAACTTTCTCCCGCACATTTCTTAGCTAGTACGGCTAATCCATCTTTGCCAAATAAATTAATAATATGGCATGCACAACATTGATAAAAAAATATACTCATCAAAGTAGGACTACATAATTCATCCAATCTAGGTATAACAATTAAGAACAATATTATTAATAGCATTATTAAAACCTATATCAAACATCTTGTCAAACAAATTATATTCAATTAACATTCACGATAATATTTATTAACCTATAGTTTTATTAACATTAGGTCGTGTTTGATAATCTTTATTTTTAGCTTATTAGTTAATATATGAGGTAATTTGAGTTTGCACCCCATCTTATTGTCCAAATTGGACTTTGCAACCCGTTTTTTAAAATGTTTGTTTATGCACCCCAATCACACATGAAAAGACAAAAAAGCCCTCGATCAGGAATATGTTGAAGGCCAACAAAATTGTTAATGAAGGGGCAATTTTGTCTTTTCATATGAGACTGAGGTGCAAAAACAAATTTTTTTAAAAATGGGGTGCAAAGTCCAATTTAGACAATAAAATGGGGTGCAAACTTAAATTGACTCCTAATACTCAAAATTACAGACTCGGTGCTCATCAAAATTGACTCAATGCTCATTTAAGAGAATCCGTGAAATTCGAGTTTTTTCCTAAATTAATGTTAATTAAATAAATATTTACCAAATTAAGGTTGGGCTAATAATAATTCCCATACTACTGCTACCTTGGTTAAACAAACCCATACGACTTATCTAAACGTACGGAGTAGGCCACAAATGTAGGAATCAAGATGGGTCCCTCATAATTATAAAACCCATTTTTTCTTTAAATGACTATAACTTTTTTATTTTTACTCTATTTTGTATAAAAAATATATCACAATTCATAATTTTTTATGATCTTTCATTTGACACCAATATTGCATATGTAATTTTTTAAAAAAAATGAAGAGTATATGGAGCCCGTTTGGGAACTCTTTTTTCCGACTTATCAGTCTCATTAACCAACTTTTTCACCAAACACAAAACTTTTGATTTTGTGTGCTTATTGTGTAATAATAATCAAAATAACTATGGTTGAAATTACTTATCAAACTGCATTGGTTGAAGTTAGTGTACATGTATTGATGTATATTTTAACTATTTTTATTCATTTTATTAATAGAAAATAGTTTGAGTTTTTCCCGAACTAATACTAATTGAATAAATAATTAAGAAAATAAGGTGTGGTTAATAATTACCATGCCAAATTTAGATTTTTTCTTCGGGTTTTTAGCTTCAGATTTGAGATTAAATAAGATACTCTCAGGTCGTTTGTTAAATCTCAAAGTGACCGAATTGACTGGTTATGTTAAAATTTATGAAGTTCAGGTGAAATGAATGTATTGGTTGAATTGGCTTATTCATTAAATTTATTCATAGAAGAGGTTTTGTGCATGATTAATTAAAATACAGGGGGTCTGACGTATTTTCCAAATCATATGGGACTAATGTGTTGGATTTCTATATCACGAGAGTGTTTGATTCCTTAAAACCCCGAGCACTGATAAGTTAGAATTTGTGATTAATTTTTATCACAATTCTATACTTATTATATGCCTAATTAAGAGGTTTGAGTTATATTTTGTGATAAAAATATTTTTTTACAGGTGAGAATTCTAATTGAAGGATTTGAGGAATACATGGGTTGATTTTTTTTAGGATTGAGGCCTGATTCACAAATGAAAGAAAGTTGTGGAAATTACCCGTTTGGACCACTTTTATGGCCCGTATATCATTATTGTCCCAACCGTTTTTCCTTTTCATTTTTAATCTTTTCTTATTTCAATTATGTTTTTTTATTTCAATTTTAGACGACTGTTGCGGACCTCATATAGAATAAGATACTCCGTCAGAGAAGCATGGTGCACTCCCGTAGTTGGAAGGGGAGAGCTTTCTCGATGAAGAAGGGCATCACAAATGAGAGAAGGCTCATGTGTCCAGTCGAGAGCACGGCAGTTACGGTTGCCAGGTTGCCGATTTGAACTTTCCGATGCAGATCCGAGAAAGGATCTTCCTCCAACATCCAGTCGGAGAGCTTTCCCTCGATATCGAGCCTTTCATCCTATTTTTGAATGAATAAGATCATAAGGTAATTAGATGTTTTGAATTTCCTCTCTTCCGTAAATTCTCTCAAATCCGCGCTCATTGATATTGCTTTGAAGTAATTTCAAATTGTCAATTCCTATGAAATTTTACGATTGGATTGCTTGAATATAAGCTTGTTTTGATATTCCTATGAAATTTTACGGTTGGATTGCTTGAATATTAGCTTGTTTTGATAGGTTTTGACTTGGCGAAGATTCTAGTCGAATGTTTTTTAAATTAATTTACAGTGTTAGTATCAATAGTTTCTGAAACCAACTTTCAGTTTATCCTCCAAATGTGAACTTTAATATGAAGATAAAATTTTCAACTCCGTATAAGGGAATTCATAGAGAAAGCCTTGCAAAATCTGGAAACTAATAGATGTTTGCGTAGGTTACATATTGGTTCCTGCACCCGAAAAATTGAGTTAACTTTGTTGCTATTACAAGATTCTTTAAGTATTGGCTATGGTATGGGCTCACTGCCAAGTCACAAAATTTGTTAGAGCAGGAGGGGCTTTTCCTCCATTTGTGGAGAGGGAATTGTCATGGTTTTCTGCTACTTTTTGGTTTCAGCCCTGAGGGAAGGTTCATGAATTGACAGTTATTGTTATGCTGCAAATTTATTTGATAATTTATGTTTGTTTGGCTTTAGTGGTCATTGATGTATTTTGCTTGGCATTAGCTATGGTATTTTTTTCATGGTGATGTACTTTGGGCATAAAATGTGTCTGCGTTTGAGAACAACATAAAACATTTGTACTTTGGGATTCACATGAACCATTGAACAACAGATTTACTATTCATCTTCTACATTTGAATTTAAAAATGTCAATAGTTTTTAACTGACGAATCTTGTGGAAATAATATTTGAGGATCTCATGGTTTGACCTTTTCCAGATCAGTCACGATATTAATTACTTCTCAGCACTCTTTAAATTGTCTCAACTTATTTGATGAATCTATCTTCCTTTTTGTTCATATTTTTTTCCATCACTAATATTGATTTTCTCAAAATTCATTGTCAGCTTTTGATTTATTATACGCCCACACAAGATGTATAGTACCATGTGATCAGACAGGATGTGGTGGTCGATTATGTTGCAGAGGAAGCGTTTTCTCTGATGGATAAAATCGGAGAGTTTGGCATAAGAAAAGTTTGCAAAGAAGGTTTGTGCATCAACTCGGAGAGTTTGTTGATAACAAAACTTATATCCGGTCGGGTGAATGAAAGATACTGCAATGCACCAATAACACTTAGGTACTCGGTGGTATTATGAGGAGTATTATCATAAAGCGAGAGAGGAGCATCACGCGAGAGAGGTGTAGGAACCGGGCTAGCATCTTGCATATGAGTCCGAGTAAGAAGATCTCGGATGTATTTGTGCTGCATGAGATGTAAACCCTGTGGTGTGCGAATAGCTTCCAAACCCAAAAAATAAGATGAAGCACCAAGATCTTTGATAAAGGATCGGAGCACATGAGTTTTATTTGCCGTGATGATTATTTTATCCACGTAAATAAGTAAGAAAAGGAGGAGCCATTATCTTGAAAAATGAACAAGGAGGCGTCACTTTTGCTATTATGAAAACCAGACTGCAATAGAAAAGCCTGAAGTTCACAATACAAGCCCGAAAGAGTGTGGCTTGTGTAAAAGAATTTAGTATATCGTATATGGAAGATGTCAATTTCTAAACTTTTGTCGTTTTCATTCTTATAGAAACACCAGATATGGTGAGAGCATATAGATTGTAACTGTAAGTTTGATCATAAATTGAATTATGTATTCATTTAACACTTGCACATGTATTTATTTATTCTTTTTCTTTTTGTTGCATATTGTTGCTTTTTGTTTTATCGTGTTTATATTTATTGTATATTGTTGCTTCTTGTTGCATGTGTTTTCTTTTAATTTTTCCAATTATTTTTTATTTTCTTCTTCTTGGGCATAAAGTAACTATATATACATATTATGATAAACCATATATTTGTACATATCAATGTCAACAAATAGAAACATAAGTACAAAAATTTTTATTTATGAAAGTCAACAAAAAGAAACACAAAAGAAACAACAAGAAAACAAAAGGCAACAATGTGAAACAAAATGCAACACAAATCAACAAAAAGCAACAAATGAAATGGAAACATTAAAAAACAACATAATACAGCAATAAGTAACAAAGAAAGAGCGTGTGATTCCTTGTTCTGTTACAAGCAAAGAGGGAAGCCACTTGAAAGCTCAAATAACTAAACTTAAGAATGCCATTGAGCAGCTTCTCATATAAATTTCAGTATGATACTCTTAAGCGAGCGAAGTGAGGCTTTGACTGGCTAAGTTGTTTATTCACCAATACTCTTGTGTGTGTGTTTAATGAATCCCATGTTTTTCTTCTTGTCATTTTTGTATTTTGTGTGAAGTATCACTTCTACTTTTATAGTGTTTTTCTTCCATAATGTTCTGCATTGGTTACTCCCCATTTGATCTGCGACAAAGGTTATGACTATTTTTGAAAGCAGACAAAGGTTATGAGGTTAAATAAAAACATTTATCTATTATTCTAGTTATAAGGAAGTAAAGAAAAATTAATTGTTCGTTCCCAACTCAAAATAACAACACCAAAAGCGCAGCAACGGCAATTGCAAGTTTGCAACAACTAAGGTCGGTACTACAATCGAGCGATAGGGTTTCCTTGAGTAGGAGAATTAACTATCAACACCGACAAACTTCCTGCCGGACTTCATTCCCACTAAAGCAGAAGCTCTTCTCAGAGATGATGGCAACAATGTTGGAGCAGGAGATGATGATTGATTTTCGACGCTGTTCAAGCCGCAGTGGCTGTTAAACTCTTCACACAGGCAATCGGGTTGGTCCAACACCATTTTGAGCCTAGAGCAGGTCCCCTCTGACTTCGGCGACGTACTGCAATTGGGGACGAAAGAGAAAATTAGCCAGGGTGCTTATGTCGTTGTCCAGCCTTCCGCCGCCGCTGCGGTGATTGCCGATTTGCCGGAACAAAAGCCTATTTTTACACATTACATAACTCTGTTTGATTGGTGCCTCGTCGTTGCTCCTGCATTCAAGCGTTTTGCTCTCCAGCGGCTTCATTCAATTCGTTCAGATGAGTTATACGGAGTTTATAGTTATATACTCGTATAGTCGTATTACTCGTATATACCATCTATATGTGAAAAGAAAACTACGCTTAGTTTATTTTTGAAAGGAAAAATTAAAAGTGACAAAAGTGATATTATTTTCACTTTTTGGTTTATTTGTGATAATTTCCCAAGAAAGTTCATAATTTAAAGCCCACTTTAGAAGACCAAAATGTTGTTTTGAAGTTTAGTAAAGGAGCCCTACTGAATTCTTTTGGAACGGCAGTTCTAAAATAAAAGAAGAAAAAAAAAAGAGTTCAAGGAGGCTGGGAAACGCAGGGGAATTCCGGCTGGAGCAAGTTCGGAAGTTTTCCAAGTTCTAAACGGCTCCACAAATTGCGGTTCCTACTCTCGAACGGCACCGAAAAATCAGGAGTTAAGCGCTTGAAACGGCTGTAATCCTTCCATATAAACGAGGCCTTGGCAAGGGTTTTTAGGGGGGAATAATCGGCCAAGGGAGACGGGAGAGAAGAGCCGATTGCTAGGAGGAAGGGCTGCAACCTGGGAGAGGACACATTGAACTTCAGGCTGCAACTTTCTGGAGGAAGGAATTAATCAGTGCTTTGAAAAAAACCTGGTTTGATTCAGCAATATTCCCTTTGATCTTGATCTGCACGTTACTAAAAAAGACTTGCTTCGGTTTAGTCATTTGGGAATTGGCAGTACTTGTTATTTTACTGATTCTTAAATGTTCAAGATGAACTCTTTTATTATTGTTGTTTTACTCTCAGCCAGTTTTAATATGAGTAGCTAAATTTCTATGTCCAGGATTATGATGAAGTTGCTATGAATTAGTATGAAAAGTGATTCTAGTTAGTCCAATTGATTGAGTTTTATCCATTGTTCTTATTCGCTTAATTGATTGTGTTAACTTCTGGCCAACTTTAATATGATTAACTAAGTTGTTTGAGTGGATTAATAGAGTACATGCCATGCCTATTAGTTCGAGCTCTATTGGGTAAAAGAATAGACAATTTTGTTGTCTTGTCAGATTGTCTATTTGGTTCTTAAATCGGGTTTCTGTAGTTCTTTTGTGATTAATGGATTTTAACTATTTAATTAATAATTTTTTATTGATTAGTAGTTAAAGTACGTGACCTATTCTGGACGCCATACGGAATAGTCATATTTATGTCTAGAACGAACCCTCATATTTAATTGACTAACTAAATCGCAAATACTAAAGATTAGTGACAGATTCATAATCCTGGACTATATTTTTCTCTTGCTAAATTCCCAATCAATCTTCTGTTAGTTGCCCAATCAATTTATTTTTAATCCTTTAAATTCCTTGCATCCATTTTAATTCAAACAAACCCAAAACTCATTTTTTTAGTTAGATTAATTTCACTTTTATTTTTATTGATACTTTTCCAATTATTTAGTTACATTTTCCCCGTGGATTTGACCCTTACTTGTGCACCATACTACCGCGACTCGTGCACTTGCGAGGACTATTATTAAATTGTCTATCAATTTTTGGCGCCGTTGCCGGGGAATTTGTTTAACTAGTTTTTGGAAAATTGTTAATTTAGTTTTATTTTAGTTAGTTGTGCTTGTTTTTTTTTTGTTTTTTTTTGTTGTATGCTTGGTCGCAGGTCACTTAATCCAGATTTGATTCCGCTGAACGATCAAGTAGATTTAATTGGCAAAAGGATAAAAAGGAGGCTCCAATTTGCTGCTAATCCAACAATGGGTGATGCACAATTGATGAAAGAGTTTGGGAGACCAACTGTAGGTGCCTCCCCGTCCTGCATTGTATTGAGTGAAGTTGCCCGCAATTATGATTTGTAGACCGTTCACTTTAATCAATTGCCATCTTTCTATGGGCTTTCTTCTGAGGATGCATTGATTTTTATTCGAGACTTCTATGGCATTGTTCAGAATTTTCCATTGCAAGGCGTGACGGAAGATGAGCTAAGGATGAGGTGTTTTCCATACACTCTTAAAGATGCTGCAAAGACATGGTTTATGTCTTTAACACCAGGATCGTTGCGCACGTGGGCTGATGTATACAACAAGTTCATCGGCAAGTACTATTCTCAGTCCAAAACTTCAGAATTAAGAAGAAAAATAGCCAATTTCACGCAGGCTGAAGGTGAGCCATTCCATGAGGCGTGGGAGAGATTCAAGATGCTGCTCACACAGTGCCCTCACCACGGTTATTCCCTGGCGCTCCAAAATCAAACATTCTATGACGGTTTGACCCAAGGAAGCCAAGCAATCGTTGACAACGCAGCTGGAGGAGCAATGGGGGAGAAGACTGCTGAACAGACCCTAGGGCTATATGAGATGCTTGGAGCTAATTCCCAACAGAAGAGCGTTCGTGGGAAGACTCAAGGGATGTACGAAGTTGGTGCGAGTACAGAACTGGCCATCCAAATATCCGAGCTATCCAAGCAAATGAAGAATATGTGTTCTATGATGGCGATGAATCAATCTGCCGCTGCAGTGAATGAAATGCCCGAGGCTAGTCTTGAACAAGCTAATATGATGAATTCATACAATCAAAGGCCAAGGAATGATCCATTCTCCAATTCCTACAACCCCGGTTGGAGGAATCATCCGAACTTCTCATGGTCTAACACACAGCAAGGGAACCAGCCAACTGTTGAACCAAAGAAGCCTTCTTTGGAGGATACTTTGCAGAACTTTATGCAAATCTGCAGCAACAACCAGCAAGCTAATGAGCAGCGTTTTCAGCGCACCGATGCCTCTTTGAGGAAGCTAGAAGTACAAGTTGGGCAGATTGCAGAATCTCTCCAAGGGCACGTGCAAGGGAAGCTATCGAGTCAATCTGAAGAGGCCAAAGCTGTCACGGTTCTTAGAAGTGGGAAGGTAATTCAGAAAAACGAAGAGCAGCCCGTTCCCAAGCTACCGGAGAAGGTAGAGGCTGAGAAGAAGCAAGAAGTAGAAGCTGAAAAGAAGAAGGAAGTGGAGGATGATTCGGTGTACGAAGAGTCCGGGCTGCACAAAGCAAAAGATCCGTATATTCCGCCTAAACCATATGTGCCGCCGGTTCCTTTTCCAAACAGGTTAAAAAGTTCCAAGTTTGATAAATCTTTTGATGAAATTTATGATTTGCTGTCCAAAGTTAATGTCAATCTGCCTCTTCTTGAAATGATTACTAATATGCCTGCCTATGCTAAGTTTTTGAAAGAATTAAATACTAGAAGGCGTAGGTATGAGCCGAATGAAAAGATTTTTGTTTCTAAGGCTGTGAGTGCTGTTTTACAAAAGGACTTGCCCCCAAAATTAGAAGACCCTGGCAGTTTTATTATCACCATTAATTTAGGGAATTCTAGAACTGAAAAAGCTATGCTTGATTTGGGGGCGAGTATTAATTTAATGCCTTATTCTGTTTATTTGAAATTAGGTTTGAATGAGCTAAAAACCACTACAATGTCCCTGCAGCTTGCTGACCGCTCTATAAGATACCCTAGGGGCATTGTAGAGGATGTTTTAGTTCAAGTTGATAAGCTGATTATTCCCGCTGATTTTGTGGTTTTAGATATGAGTGATCAGTGCAAACATGTTAAAGATATGTCAATCTTACTTGGTAGACCTTTTATGGCCACGGCTAAAACTATGATTGATGTTCAAAATGGAAAATTAACTATGAGTGTGCTTGATGAAACTGTTGAATTTTCCATTTTGAAATCCATGAATATGCCAGCTGGTTCTGATTCATGTTTTGCACTTGATATGCTTGATTCTATTGTTCCTTTGAGTATGTTACAGGAAGATGAGTTTGAGCTTGCTTTAACTCTTGATGTGCAAGAGCTTGATGATGAAAAAGTGAGCGAGATGAGGGATATTTTGGACAAAACTGAAGTGCAAAGTGAGGAAATAGTGGCTGATTGCGAACTGGAAAAAAATCAGCATGCTGAAAATCCACCTCAAGTGCAACTGAAACCCCTCCCCTCGAATCTGAAATATGTGTTTTTAGGGTGTGATAGTACTTTTCCTGTTATTATTGCTTCTGACCTGACACAGGAACAAGAAGAGCAGTTGTTTAAGGTGCTGAGGAAGTTTAAAGCTGCGTTTGGTTGGGCGATTTCTGATTTGAAAGGAATTAGCCCAACGGTTTGTATGCATAAAATCTTGCTGGAAGAAGGTGCTACTCCATGTAGACAACCTCAACGGAGGCTGAATCCGAACATGAAAGAGGTAGTGCGTGTGGAAGTTCTAAAGTTGCTCGATGCAGGTATTATCTTTCCTATTTCTGACAGTAAATGGGTTAGTCCTGTGCAAGTTGTGCCTAAGAAGTCTGAGATTACTGTCGTGAGTAATGAGAAAAATGAGTTGGTACCCACACGGGTCACCACAAGGTGGCGAATGTGTGTTGATTATAGAAAATTAAATGCTGCCACTAAAAAAGACCATTTCCCTTTACCTTTTATTGACCAAATGTTAGAGCGCTTGGCTGGCCATGCGTTCTATTGCTTTCTTGACGGTTTTCAAGGTTACAATCAGATTCCGGTTGCTCCGGAAGACCAGGAAAAAACTACTTTTACATGTCCATTTGGCACTTTTGCTTTTCGTAGAATGTCTTTTGGATTATGTAATGCTCCTGGTACTTTTCAGCGGTGTATGATGTCTATTTTTTCTGATATGATTGAAAAGTTTGTTGAGGTTTTTATGGATGATTTTTCCTTGTTTGGCGACTCTTTTGATCAGTGCTTGCATAATCTGTCGCTAGTTCTTGAAAGATGCGTTCAAATGAATTTGACTCTTAGTTGGGAGAAGTGTAATTTTATGGTTAAAGATGGAATTGTGTTGGGGCATGTGATTTCTAGTCGGGGGATTGAAGTAGATAGGGAAAAAATTGATGTGATTGCTAAACTGCCACCCCCTACTTCTGTTAGAGGAGTGCGTAGTTTCCTTGGTCATGCAGGTTTTTATAGAAGGTTTATTAAAGATTTTTCTAAGATTTGTAAACCTCTATGTAATCTGTTAGCTAAGGATGCGAATTTCAGTTTTGATGATGAATGTCTTGTTGCGTTTAATGTGCTGAAAGAAAAATTAACTTATGCCCCAATACTTGCTGCCCCGAACTGGTCATATCCATTTGAGATTATGTGTGATGCCTCCGATTTTGCAATTGGTGCTGTTTTGGGTCAAAGAATTGACAAACTGCCGTATGTGATTTATTATGCTAGTCGAACTTTAGATGATGCACATATTAACTACTCTACAACTGAAAAAGAATTGTTAGCAGTTGTCTTTGCATTAGAAAAGTTCAGGTCTTATTTGATTGGATCTAAGGTGATTGTTTATTCTGACCATGCTGCTTTGAAATATTTGTTGATGAAAAAGGATGCTAAACCTAGGTTGATTAGGTGGATTTTATTGTTGCAAGAGTTTGATTTGTCTATCAGGGACAAGAAAGGAAGCGAGAACGTGGTGGCTGATCATTTATCACGCCTCCCCGATAATACTGGATATTCTGGGAAAGAGCTAGAGATGCCTCTTAACGACAGGTTCCCCGATGAAGGTTTGTTTTATGTGATGAGTAAAGAGCCATGATATGCTGATCTGTTAATTATTTGGTTACCGGTAAGTTTCATCCCGATTTAAATTCACAGGGTAGAAAACATTTTCTCTCCAAAGTGAAATATTATTTCTGGGATGAACCTTACTTGTTTAAAATCTGCCCTGATCAGACCATTAGGCGTTGCATTCCTGAACACGAACAAGAAAGTGTTTTGCATCATAGTCATACTTTGAATTGTGGTGGGCATTTTAGTGGGAAAAAAACTGCATTTAAAGTCTTGCAATCTGGTTTTTATTGGCCTACTCTCTTTAAAGATGCAATTTCTTTCTGTGCTAAATGTGACCGTTGTCAGAGAGTAGGGAATATTAGCAAACGTCATGATATGCCTCTTACGAATAATCTGGTTGTTGACTTGTTTGACATTTGGGGTATTGATTTTATGGGCCCGTTTCCTACTTCTTTTGGGTTTAATTATATTCTGGTTGCAGTTGATTACGTGTCTAAATGGATTGAAGCTATTGCCACTAGAACTAATGATAGTCGAGTGGTGCTGAATTTTTTGAAAGAAGTGATTTTTGCTAGGTTTGGGACACCGAGGGCTATCATTAGTGATGGTGGCAGCCACTTTTGTAACAAGTTTTTTGCAGGATTGCTGAAAAAGTATGGTGTTACGCACCGGGTTGTAACACCTTACCATCCACAGACTTCGGGGCAAGTTGAGGTGAGTAATAGGCAGATTAAAGGTATTCTGGAAAAAACCGTGAATCCTTCACGCAAGGATTGGGCTAATAGGCTGAACGATGCACTGTGGGCTTACCGGACAGCCTACAAAACCCCAATCGGAATGAGCCCGTACAGGTTAGTTTTCGGTAAACCTTGCCGTTTGCCTGTAGAGTTGGAACATCGAGCCTACTGGGCTATCAAGGCGCTGAATTTTGATCTTAAAGAAGCAGGTGAGTTGAGAAAACTGAATTTGAATGAGCTGGATGAGATTAGGAATGATGCGTATGAGAGTGCGAAAATTTATAAAGAACGCACTAAGCTTTTTCATGATAAATCTATTTTGAGGAGAGATTTTAAACCTGGAATGGAGGTGTTGTTATATGACTCTCGTTTGAGGCTTTTTCCAGGGAAGTTAAAATCTAGGTGGACTGGACCGTTTTTGATTCGCCAAGTTTTTCCCCATGGTGCAATTGAACTTGAAAATCCAAAATCTGTGAATGTTTTTAAGGTGAACGGTCAGCGAGTGAAACAATATTTGAGAAGTGAAGATGTAGTTGAGCAAGTTGAGTGTCTTGAGCTTCGGGAATACCGTTGCTCATGTTGTGCCTAGTCTTAGTTTTCTTTCAAAATAAAAAATAATAATAAAAAAAAACAGTTTTTTCATTCTGTTTTCCCCTTCCCCATTCTTTTCTTTTCTTTCCTTTGTTTCTGAGTTTTGCAGGTTACTTCTCTTGATGTTAAGGTTTTGGTTTGAAGTGCATTGAGGGAGTATTTCTTCTCCTTTCTCTTTTTAATATTTTTCCATTGAGGACAATGTTTGAGATAGGTGTGGGGGAGGAGTAACTCTCAGTTTTTAGTTCTGTTTTAGTTTCAAAATCACAAAAAAAAAAAACAGAAAGCTGCTTTAAAAAAAACAAAAAAAAAATGTTTTTCTTGCTTGGAGTTGAGGGAAATTTAATTTCAAGATTACTTTTTTTGGCTTCAAGCTGTGAAAAGTTTCCCTTTCAGTGGTATGTGGTTTGATTGGTTGGCTCCATGATAGATATTCTCTTGAATTTGATTGAGTCCTCGCATTGTTTTTACTTGGAGTCAATTTCCTAGTTTCTTGTGTCATTGATTTTGATGTATTTTTCAATTCTTTATGGCCTTTTAGGATGCATCTCTAACGTTCTTGGAAAGAGTGTGAGTCCTTTGTCTTTTAGCTAGCATGATAGAACTTGTCTTGTTGCTCTTTTGGAAGCTAAGTTATTGTGCAAGCTGATTCAGTTATGATCTAGGCCATTTTTCATACCCCAAACCTTTTAGCCTACCCTTTTTATTTTATTTCCGCTTGCTACCCCTTTGAGCCTAATATGTCTTAAAGCGTTCTAACGTGCTTTTGAGTAATGATTCTTTCTAATTACCCTCAATGTTGACCTCGAGCCCAAATAGCCAAATATTATTCCTCACCCTTGAGTTGACATTTTCTTATACTTTAATTGTGACTTGGAAGAGTTTATCTTTTTGGAGCATTTTTCTTTGTTATTCCCGACAGTTTGTATAGATTCAATGATGTTGGTGTTGATTCTTGTGAGCAGTCAGTGGACTGAAGGTGTGAAAAGTTCAAAAAAAAAAAAAGCAGAAAAAAAAGTCAAAAAGAAAAAAAAGAAAAAAAAGAAATTCTGAAAAGTTGAAAAGTGAAAAAGTGAAGAAGAAAGAAGTGAGTTGAAGTTCTATTCTTTGAGCTTCCTATTTGTATCTCTTTATCTAAGAAGCTGGTTGATTGTTGCAATAGCTTAGTTGCTCCCTTTTGTCATGTATTGAACTCTTCCTAGGACCGGTTTGGTATAGAAAATGTCTCCTCCTTTGTTTGACTTTCCATATCCTTTCTTTCTTTAGCCCATTACCCATGGCCACGTTACAACCCTAATAAAAGTCCTAAGTGATCTTGATCAAGTGTGTGCTTTGATAAGGTGGAGGGAAGAGCATAAGATGACTATAGAGTGTTGACTGATTGACTTAGGACTTTGCATAATTTCTGTGAGAGTTACTTGAGTGTCTCACTAGGTCGTTTAGAATTGTAAAATACATCTCTATTAATGACATGTGAGTCTTGGTAACTGCCTTTTGAGTTGGGCTTTGTGGTGGATACTTGATTCAAATTTCTTGGGGATATTTTGTCATGGAAGGGAATGTTGGTGTGCTTGGTGAGTGAAAGGGGATTTTGATCACTTGTAGCTGATTTGGTTCTTGATTTTAATTTTCCTTGAGGACAAGCAAAATGCAAGTGTGGGGGAGTTTGATAAGTTAGAATTTGTGATTAATTTTTATCACAATTCTATACTTATTATATGCCTAATTAAGAGGTTTGAGTTATATTTTGTGATAAAAATATTTTTTTACAGGTGAGAATTCTAATTGAAGGATTTGAGGAATACATGGGTTGATTTTTTTTAGGATTGAGGCCTGATTCACAAATGAAAGAAAGTTCATAATTTAAAGCCCACTTTAGAAGACCAAAATGTTTTTTTGAAGTTTAGTAAAGGAGCCCTCCTGAATTCTTTTGGAACGGCAGTTCTAAAATAAAAGAAGAAAAAAAAAAAAAAGAGTTCAAGGAGGCTGGGAAACGCAGGGGAATTCCGGCTGGAGCAAGTTCGGAAGTTTTCCAAGTTCTAAACGGCTCCACAAATTGCGGCTCCTACTCTCGAACGGCACCGAAAAATCAGGAGTTAAGCGCTTGAAACGGCTGTAATCCTTCCATATAAACGAGGCCTTGGCAAGGGTTTTTAGGGGGAATAATCGGCCAAGGGAGACGGGAGAGAAGAGCCGATTGCTAGGAGGAAGGGCTGCAACCTGGGAGAGGACACATTGAACTTCAGGCTGCAACTTTCTGGAGGAAGGAATTAATCAGTGCTTTGAAAAAAACCTGGTTTGATTCAGCAATTTGATCTTGATCTGCACGTTACTAAAAAAGACTTGCTTCGGTTTAGTCATTTGGGAATTGGCAGTACTTGTTATTTTACTGATTCTTAAATGTTCAAGATGAACTCTTTTATTATTGTTGTTTTACTCTCAGCCAGTTTTAATATGAGTAGCTAAATTTCTATGTCCAGGATTATGATGAAGTTGCTATGAATTAGTATGAAAAGTGATTCTAGTTAGTCCAATTGATTGAGTTTTATCCATTGTTCTTATTCGCTTAATTGATTGTGTTAACTTCTGGCCAACTTTAATATGATTAACTAAGTTGTTTGAGTGGATTAATAGAGTACATGGCTTGCCTATTAGTTCGAGCTCTATTGGGTAAAAGAATAGACAATTTTGTTGTCTTGTCAGATTGTCTATTTGGTTCTTAAATCGGGTTTCTGTAGTTCTTTTGTGATTAATGGATTTTAACTATTTAATTAATAATTTTTTATTGATTAGTAGTTAAAGTACGTGACCTATTCTGGACGCCATACGGAATAGTCATATTTATGTCTAGAACGAACCCTCATATTTAATTGACTAACTAAATCGCAAATACTAAAGATTAGTGACAGATTCATAATCCTGGACTATATTTTTCTCTTGCTAAATTCCCAATCAATCTTCTGTTAGTTGCCCAATCAATTTATTTTTAATCCTTTAAATTCCTTGCATCCATTTTAATTCAAGCCTTACCTTTCAGATTTAAATCAAACAAACCCAAAATTCATTTTTTTAGTTAGATTAATTTCACTTTTATTTTTATTGATACTTTTCCAATTATTTAGTTACATTTTCCCCGTGGATTTGACCCTTACTTGTGCACCATACTACCGCGACTCGTGCACTTGCGAGGACTATTATTAAATTGTCTATCAAGCACCAACAGACGTAGCAATCAAGTGCATCCCTCAGAAATATAAAATCCATTTTTTCTTTAAATAGATATAACTTTTTTAATTTTTGCTCTATATTGTATAAAAAATATATCACAATTCATAATTCTTTATGGGCTTTCATTTGACACCAATTTTGCATATGTCAATTTTTTACAAAAAAAGGAAGAGCATATGGAGCCCATTTGAGGACTCTTTTTTTCTCGACTTATCAATCTTATCAATCAACCTTTTCACCAAACACGTACTGAACTTTTGAATTTGCGCGCTTATTGTGTAATATTCAAAATAAGTGAAGTTGAAATTACTTTTCTGACTGCATTGATTGAAATTACAATTTAGCTATTTTTATCCATTTTATTAATAGAAATTATATCGTAGTATAAGTATAAAATTTAATGAATAAGCCAATTCAACCAATAGAGTCATTTCACCTGAACTTCATAATTTTTAACAGTATCAGTCAATTCATTCACTTTGAGATTTACCAAACAACCTTAGGGTCTCTTATTTAATCTCAAATCTGAAGATAAAAATCCGAAGAAAAAAATCTAAATTTGGCCTGATAATTATTAACCCAACCTTATTTTCTTAATTATTTATTCAATTAGCATTAGTTCGGGAAAAATTCAAAATATTTTCTATTAATAAATGAATAAAAATAGTTAAAATATACATCAATACATGTACAGTAACTTCAACCAATGCATTTTGATAAGTAATTTCAACCTTACTTGTTTTGATTATTACACAATAAGCACACAAAATCAAAAGTTTCGTGTTTGGTCAAAAAGTTGGTTGATGAGACTGATAAGTCAGAAAAAAGAGTTCCCAAACGGGCTCCATATACTCTTCATTTTTTTAAAAAAATTACATATGAAATATTGGTGTCAAATGAAAGCTCATAAAAAATTATGAATTGTGATATATTTTTTTATACAAAATAGAGTAAAAATAAAAAAGTTATAGTCATTTAAAGAAAAAATGGGTTTTATAATTATGAGGGACCCATCTTGATTCCTACATTTGTGGCCTACTCCGTATGTTTAGAAAAGCCGTATGGCCGTATGGGTTTGTTTAACCAAGGTAGCAGTAGTATGGGAATTATTATTAACTCAACCTTAATTTGGTAAATATTTATTTAATTAACATTAATTTAGGAAAAAACTCGTGAAATTCTCCAAAATTATAAGTTTGCCTAGAAGATTCAGCCAAAACAACAATACAAATTGAACACGCACATCAGAGATGTGTACAAATTGAGGGGTACAAAAGCAATTTTCCATATATACGGAGAATACGATTATATGCAGATGGAGCCGAGAAAGAGAAGGGGCCAAACAGTCAGATCGGTGCGGTAAACATCCCATGATGCCAAAAATTTAAACCCTGTGATCTTGTCCTGTCCCGGAAGAAGAAGAAGAGAAATCCGAAATGTTCGTAGTTTCACACCGTAGATGAATCGTAGAGACACACGCTTGCCGTCGATCAGCCTGTGATCTTACATCGGACACAAGAATGGACATACAAGGTAATCGTTAACCGTGGCGTCTGAATGTTTTGAATATACGGTGATTTATCAAAATGCTATGCTTTAACCCTACGACAATGTAATCTTCATAACAAGTTCTTCCCACGATAACAAATGCATTCAAACCCTCCAGCAGTGTTCGCTGCGCATTTGTCGAAACAATCCAAACTTCATGATGATCTCAAAAACATTGAAAAGCAGGTCTTACAACGGTGTGCATTCATGAATATGATTATATGAATATGGTTTGTAGAACAGAACATATTTTTATTTATTTCTATGGTGCGTGCTTGGGTTTTGGTATGTAGGTGTACGACATGGAGACAAGTTATTTGCAGGATCCAAGCCAATGTGGGAATGTGTTGAAAGGTTTTGAAGGGTTTCTGTCATCATCTAAAAGCACTACACTGTACACTCTTCAACTACTATTGAGTTTGAGCGTGTTTATTGCTCCATACTATTTTGTTTGGTTTGAACTTTAAATCATCAAGGGTAGTATTGCTACCTAAAATGCTACATGTAACCAATTGTTTACTTCCAGGTTAGACATACCAAAATGCAATAGTTTAAAACTTGAAAGTAATGTTTTTAAAAAAGTTCAAAAGCATATTGTTTTCAACTTCTAAATTATTTTAACCTATAATTCTAAATAAGTTGTATTATGTTTAAGGTTAGCAGTATAATGGAAATTCCATGTCTGAATGTAGGTAGATCTTTTGGGGTTAGGTGGTTATTTGTGTCATGATTCTCATTCTGAGATTAACCCAATGACCACTAGACAAGAAAGTTAACTTCTCAACCAGTTGAGATATTGACAATATCATATTGTGTTATTGGATTGTTAATTCTTAAGAAAGGGAAGAGTTTTAATTTTTAAAAGTGGATAACATGTACTTGATTCTTTTCCTTTTGGTGGTGATATCATGTATAGATTCATGTTAGCCGACCCCAATATCTTTTGGGACTACGGCTTGGTTGTTGTTGTTGTTGTTGTGGATAACATGTACTTGAGCCTAGTATATGTTAGATTCCAATTCTGCAGCTTGTATGTGGTTCTTAGGTCTAAATCTTGTTTTGTTGGTAAAGGTGCTTTGTTGGAGTTTTTGTTCAATCGTCTGAATCTTAGTGTAAATATTGATTTACTTGGACTGAAATGTTCTTGTTTGGTCTGAACTTGTATGGTCTAGTAGATGCTTGATCTATGTGTATATTACAAGTGGTCTGATTTGTTCAAGTCTGGTCTACTGTGAAACCGAAATCAGTCCAAATAAAAACATCCTAACTTCCCCTTTCCTATGGTTGTTTGGTTGCAGTTTAAAACGATCAAGGAAGTTTCAACCAGAAGATAGGCTTTTTTCCCTATCCTCTGTGACGTCTCCAGCGGTATGTTTTGTGTTTACACATTATCTAGTTATATTATTATTCAGTGGTGGTGCTCTATATGCTCATTGCCATTGGTTAAGGATGTCCTTCAAGAAAAAGATCATATTTATATGAATTACAGCTTATACTTTGCTAGGTGCATGCTGTATTGTTAGTCGATAACTGATAGCTAACCATTTTATCTTTCTTTTTGTATTTGTCAATTGTCACTAGTGAAATTTGTGTTATATTGCTCAAAACCCTTTTGTTAAAAAAACTGGTACATAATAATCTTCCAAAGCCTTTAGCAATACTTTTAAAGGTTGGAAGAGATGTTTGTGGAATTTATGGCATTCTCATAATGGTACATCATAAGCTGAAGGTATGATAGCTTTTTCTACTTTGTACTTACCTTCACTTTCATTAAATGAGAATGGTTACCACTCCAAACATACTCACTCATTTTAATTTACTCTGCATTAAGTTCAACATGCAGGTCTAGCCCAATGTTTATCTTGAATTCTCGATTGCTTTTTGTTTCAGGCTGAGGAAGTAGCTGTTGGCCGGGACAGTGCATGTATACCTGCACATGGACAGTAAGTATTAGTTGCCCCATTGGTAACCAGTGCCTCATAATGAGGGGATATGGATTGTGATGAATTTACAGTTTTTTTTTTTATATAAATTTCCTGAGTAATTTGTCATTAGAAAAATTGAATGTAATGGAGCTCACATAGTTACATCGGTCATGGTAATACTCAGGGGGAAACAGAAGAAGGGTAGGGGAGGCCCAAGAGAGGCGAAGAGAATGAGACATTCTAGTGGCGAACCAGACTACGATTATGAAGATGAGATGATGTAGTCTTGGCTCTGCTTTGAGAGAAAGAGCCAAGTTGGTTGGTTTTTCGAATGAGAACTGGTAGACCTTTATAATACCCCATTGACTAACCTTTCTTGGAGACCTAAATTCTTTCCTGCTCTGATGTACTACTATCATATCATGTACAAATATCAGCGTAATTTATTGCATAACTTTATTTATTCAGTAGAATTTATTTATTCAGAACACCAAATTGATGTTACTTCATATTATCAGTGTATTTTAGTCTAAATTGTGGTTCGACGTTATTTAGTACTACTTTAGTCTATTTTTTCATACTCAGTATTAGATTCATGTTTCATCATTTTTTACTTTTGTAATTGTTACTCATTATTATAGTAAAAAATTGCATTTGTCTTTAGCAATCAATTTGTCTAAATTGTTACTCATGCTTCGATTTTTGACTTATTCTTCTATCAGTTTTTAACAATCAATTTATTTTATTTTGATAAATATAGGGTATAGCAATTGAAAAAATAAATAAAAGTATTGATTAATAATATTTCATTGAATCACTTTGGTACACTAATCATTTTTATTCCATTTCTTTTTTAAAAATGGAATAATGCTAATTAAATAATGCAAACCACCAAATAGTAGTCTTGGACCCGGTTCGGGCCGCCCGGCTTGGCCCACAACCCGGCCCGCTACTGTGTGGGCCTGGGACCGGCCTGGTCCTTTGGTCCAGTACCGGGCTTGAACCCGAACCGGTGGGTAAAGCGGGGGCGGGCTCGGGTATGTGAATTGGTGACCCGGCCGGGTCTGGTTTGGGCCAACATGTTTTTTTTTTTTCAATTTTTTTGGTTTCCCCCGGGTTGGGATGGGCGTTTTTTTTAAGGGGATCAGCCGGTCAGGGGGGTGGGAGGGGGGTGAGGGGGTAGTTAGGAAAGCAAAAAAAAAAAAATATAAACCGGCCCGAGGCCCGGCCCGAACCCGGTGAAAACCCGGCCCGGTCCCGGGCCTTCCCCCAACCATAAAAAGCCCGGCCAGGCCTAGGCCC